TAGCAAAGTTATTTTTTTATAATGATTATTTATCTGAGAACCTATTTCCTTTAGGCACCCTAGTTTTATAGCATTCTATTTGTAATTTAGTGCACATGGAGGTACATGTGTGTTACTGTTATAATGGAACCAGAGATAAAAAAGAAAATCTGTCCATCTGCAACAGTTTAGTGGGGAAGAGCTATTGTTTTCCAAATTTTTTTTCAGTCTGTGAAAGTTTGCTTTTTACTATCTAGTTGTTAGTAGAGGAGGGCAGGGAGTGGAGTTCTCCATCCAAGGAACACAGATTGAAGAGACACACTGACATTGGTACGTAAAAGTTTTTGATTGTGTAACTAATTATCTAGAAAAACCCTATGAAACAACAGTTGGAGAAGATTAAAGCAGGTGGATTTGTGTCTTGAAGGGTCCATCGCATGCCAGAAAAAAGTATGGCGTGGGATTATCTTTCCTGGAAAGGGTTCAAGAAAAATAGCTCTCCTTCAATTAAAATACACCTGAGATCTTGTTATGAAAGGCTACAGGTTGCTTATTCCTGTTTTCAATATACTGCATCAGAATTTCCAAGGGTAGAAGCCTATGGGAAGAGTTCAAACGTAGGATGTTTGTGCAGGAACTGAACGCAGCCAGCTTCTCTGCTTATTAAAATCTTGCAGGAGTGAAAAGCAGACATCTCTGGAAGAGGAAAGCAACCTTTTCTTTCAGAGACATGATAGTTTTACTACCTCTTTTGCTGCCAGGATAAGGTCCTGGCATAAATAGCAAAGCTCTGTTGAAGTGCGTGGAGCTGTGCCAGGTAACATCTGCCTGAGATCAGGCCCTCAGACATGTAGTCAGGATGCCTTCCTGCTGTCAAACTCCAGAGCAACTCCTCACTGAAAGCAGGTCTGAAGCCACAGCCTGGCATGTGACAAAGCATCTACCAAGCCTGTTACTCCAAGTGGCTCTCGTAAAAAGCTTGTTGCTTCAAAGAAATTATGAGCAAGCCACTACCTTTCATCATTTCTCTCTCTCTTGCCTTCTCTTTGTATTTTTCCTCAAGCTAAACCATATTATTTCTGAGCTATAAAGCCTTCTAAAAGCCCACAGAGCTAAAACTGGCAATACGTAATAATGCATGTCAAATAAAAATCTAATCAGCTTTTTTCCAAGAATTGCCAACACCTTAGAAATTTGCAGTAAACCAAATATTTTTTAATCAGTGCAACAAATGAAAACTCTAAATTTGCCAGCAGTAGGTGGATTGCAGATGCAGTAAATACATTTTTGATGTAGCATCCAGGTAATTAATCCCATATTTCAGCAAAATCCCAGTAAACTGGCTGTGTATCACTTGTATGCTCCAAGCAGCATGAAGATAACCTGTGAAATTTAAGAATCCTTTGTCATTCAGTTTTCTCACTTTCTGTCCCTTTTTAATTCAGCTAATAAAAAGAGGTAGAGCTCTTAATAAGGTCATGTTCAACCTTAGCTGAAAACTCTGGAGCATTAGTGGGCTTAGTTTTAATTAGCTAAGGGTCAGTTTTCCCTGTCTGGGCTGTTGTCTCTAAACATAGGCCGTGGTGTGGTTCACATGTTTTATTGGTTATAACTATCAAGATATCCTGCATGCTGTGCTATAAGCTATTTGCATATACTGTAAATCCTCAAGCATTTTGCAAAGAATTTTTGAACAAATATATTTACTAAGGACCTGATACTCTAATTAGTGCCATGCAGGTAAATTCTCCCACTCAAATAGATGCAGCTATACTGTTTTAGCTTAAGGGTCTGACTCTGCAGATTTTCACTCAATATATAGTAAAGGATGCAAGATCACAGCCTCAAGAATCAAAGAAAATACTTTTTGAATGCAATGTCTTTGGTTAAACATACCACAGTGAATCTGGACTAAGATCTGATTCTAAACTGAATTCATCACTCTTACACTGATTCAGTCTGTAGTGTGGGGGGAAATTTGGGCCATTGAGACCAAAATAAACATTTTGCTCGGATCTGCCTCCTTATCTGACATTGAAGGGTCCCATAAAGGAATGAAAAAGAGCATTGAAATATAGTTACAAACTTTAAGGTTTTTATTGCTCTTATCAGGACAGCATATAAGAGGGCTGTGTATATGATGTGTGTATGTGGTCTTTGACCACAAAACTTAGCATGAGAAAGGAAAGTGTTGACACTTGGTAAAAAACTAGGTTCCTCCCAGCCACCCACCCACAAATACAGTTTGTGTAGCAATTGTCTCCTAATGTGCTTTTTTTCCCTCCAGATATATGTGAGTGCTCTGATCTTTTATTTGGCTTTTTAATGCATCCCTGCGAACGAAATTACTATCCCAGGATGTTGCTAAAACATTAAAGTGGCTCTTTTGCATCAGCACTGGCTGGCTTGAAATGAGTTCCATAGGGAGTCTCAAAAGGGGATCTGTCCCCTCACAAACCAGCTGAGGATATAGATTCAGCAAGGGAAGACTGGAAGAGGTCTTCGACTTTCGGGAGGTTGCCTGAAATTCCTCTTTCAGCTCCAATGTTTCCTTTGCTGGATTCTCCCTCTTGCTTTGGAGTCTAAATTTCTGGTACCTAAAATAAGTAGACACAAACTGATCAACTCTGGGCCATGCACATATGGTTTGATAAATACTGAATGGCCTGGAATCTTGCATGGCTGACACTTTCCAGCGTTGTGGTAAATATTTAAATAGAAAGGAGAAGGCAGCAAGTCTTAAACTGCACTCACCAAGAACCTCTGCATTTATGAAAACTTTCCCTAATTGAAAATCTAGTAGTTTCAAATGCTGTAGACTGAGCATTTGGAAACTAGTTCAGGGGCTGCTAAGATAGCAAGAAGCAGCAGTGGCTTTGAGCCCCCAGTTCAGGTTACTCCCCCACCCTTCTCCTTGTATTTTGGGCATTCAGGAGGTGCTAATAACATCCTTACGAATTCTAGCAAGGGAAAAAGTCTCTCTTTAGACTTTAGACACATTACGGTGTGGTTCTTCTCTAACTCCCTTTCCTTGACATATCCCCTGCCCCCATTTCTCATCCTCCTTCTCAGTGTTTCCTCCTGGTTCTTTGAGATCTACTACACCAAAAATATTTTTGGAAATACCGCAGACTATTGTTTTTATTAGTGACTGGAAAGCTTTGTAGTAGGATGCTTTTGTGTTTCATTTGTTTTCCTTGTTCTGGCACAGCTGGTTTTACTTTAGCAGCATTAGAGAGATGGTTAAACTATTTGTGGCCTTTTCTAACCCAGTAGATCTCTTCTACTGAATGCTTTAAACTGAACGTCTGAAACTGTAACTAACAGGTTGTCTGCGTGGGCAGTTTTGTGCATAAAGTTACAAATGCACTGATTTTATGAGAACTTTTAATTTGTTCAGCAAAACACTGATCACTGTGAAGCAAATCACAGTTTCCCTATAAATTTCCCAGCCAGAACATTGACAGAACCTTGACTAGGGAAGATACAGAACAGATGAAGCAGTAGCTCTTGTTCAAACCTATGCATGCTCAGAAATGATTAATGGAAAAGAGGTTTGTGTAGGTGTGGTGATCCCAACCTTAGCCAACAGGGAATAGGAAGAAACAGGCAGTGGGGCAGAATGTGGTCTGAGGACAAATCAGCTGCACAGTGATTAGGTTTAGAGAATCAATCTGTTTGACACTGGCTTGGCAGTTTTCTTTCTGGTGAGGTCAGGCAGGTGACAGACCTGGCTTGATTCATCGCATGGCTGTGTGAACATAGGACCGGTACTGGGGAGGCAGTGGCAAAGAGCAGCATGTGGGTATGGGGTAGGTGGCACTATCCCTCTTGGCAACTTACAACACTGGAAGAGCAGCGCACATATCAGCTCACTGACAAAATGTAATGCAGGTGGGAAAGGACATCCTACATCTCCTACCTGCAGTAACGTTGAGCGTCGCTCTTCCCTTTTGTATGCAAGGGGTGGGGAAGCAACTGCACTTGTCAGAAACCACCTCCTTAGTGACATTGCAAAAGAAAAGGCTGAGATGACTTTTCAAGCATGTTTTTTCTCTGCTGCTTTTTGTCTTTTTCCTTCATTAAAAGTAATTTTTTTCAAACTTCCTGTCAATTTTGCGGGGGCACACATCAGTGGATTCATGACTGAATGAGGCCAGGGAGAATGCAGAAAACAAAACTTGTGTCTGAAAGTCTTGCATGACTAAAGTCTGTTGTCAGACAACGATATTGAGGTAGTAATAGCAAGATAAGAGGACAAAGAAATTGAGCAGAACTCAGCAAGGGATTACACATGTAATGCACATTAGAGTAACTGGAGTTATGCTGAATGTTGGCAACAAACTGCAGAAGATCAGACCTTGTGTAATAGTGAAGTTTATCACATGCTTTTCCTCTGTCTAAAAAAATTGCAACAAAAGCATTAGTTTGGGCTCACCCAAAATGCAGTATTTTCTGCTTGAAGCTTTATTACAGTCACAAAATAAAAACAAAAACCAAACATGTATGCACAGGACTAGCTAAGATATGAGGACCCCTTTGGAATATTATTAATGAGAATAAATATGCATATACCAACATCTGTATCAACTTCTGTAGATACTGGTTGTTTCCCTTTATAGTGAATTATGTTAAGAGAGAACATATTCTATTTACATGTCCTATACCCAGAGAGACACATAACTAATTCTCTGTAGGTGTGTGCATGCCATTCAGTATGTTTTATTCGGTGCAATATGGTAAAGGGAATTGTCCACCCATCTATTCCCAGAAGATACACTGTTTCTGCCAGTGGGAAGGCACCTCAGAAGTACAGGAATATCAGTTGTCTGTCCTACAATGCCATAATAATCAATGTAACTGCATTTAGCTCGTTCCATGTTTTTCTTCTCGATCAAATAGCAACATATACATTTCAGCCAAAATTTTCTGAACTGTTACCCACAGCCCTGTTTCTTGCCTGTTACTAGGCTACGGTTATGATCTTTGCACTGACTGTTATCCTGACTGACTCGTTTCAGGGCTCCAAAGAGTGCGCCAGCTGGGAAAAAACACAAGATACTTCAGACGAAGACTGCATGAAATGGGCTTCATCATTTATGGCAATGATGATTCTCCTGTTGTCCCCTTACTTCTTTATATGCCTGGTAAGATAGGGTAAGTACTGGGAAAAAACCCATTGACAAAATGAACACTATTCAAGTTCATAGATTATACACTGTGAAAAATGTAGTTATGTATGGTAGACGCTTCACAAGAGAAACACACACAGTTAGGTAAATTACTCATTTAGTTATGTTCTATTTTAAATTTGGACCTAGACTTAATTTTATGCTGTTCCAGTATTCAGAATTTTTTTAATGTGTCTTATCCTTTTTTAACTTGCTCTGGAATAATGCTTTTGATAGCATTTTGAATTTGGATTCCTTTTTAATTTGTAAAAATTGTAATCATTAAGAGATACATTGCCTTTGATTTATTAATTGGTTTGTATGGAAGTTCTTTTTACCCATCTCATCTTTGAATGGTTTTTGCATGTTTTACCATTCAGTACCTGTCAGGCAGCACTTGTGCACTGACTTGGACATGCAGACCAGAAGTTAGTAGTAGCATAATGTAAAGGTTGAGCTGTAGGGAGTATTTGCAAGTAGCTTAGAGTGGCTATGTGCTCTAGGTCTAGTACACACCACACAAAAGGTTTCTAAACTGGCAGAGAAATTGTGAGAGCAAAGAAACTGTCACACAGCTTGTTTTAATCCTGTTGATGTGCAGGAACCTTCCAGCAGCCGGACTTCTTCCGTGTTTAGGGACTATGAATGCTCACACATTTTGATTTGCACTCAAAGCCTTTCATTGACCTAACTGAATCATGTCTGCTCTACAATGCTCTCTTTGCCGTCACAGTTCTAGTATTTGACACCCACTTGGCTTCCTGAGCTGTTAAACAGCAAAGGATGTCAGTCCTCCTGGTAAAATTCTGGCTCCTATTGAGTTCAGTGGGAATATTACTATCCACTTCAACTGAAGACAGGATTTTACCCATTGTTTTATTATACTTGAATGTTTTCTCTCTGTGGTCAGTTTATTGGAGATAATTTACTTGGGGTTTTTTTGTTCTTCTCAGGGCTTTTGCAAGACGCATGTTAGAAAAAAATATCGGGGTGGTTGTGGTTGGATTTCCAGCTACTCCTATCACAGAATCCAGGGCTCGTTTTTGTGTGTCAGCTGCACATACACGGGAGATG